TGGAAGGGCATACGAGCAGACCTAAAAAATGTAAAGTGCTTTGGAGGACAAAGTGCTATGGAATCAATTATTCCGGGAAGGCACACTGGAACAACCACGTCTTCAAGCTCCTCCTAAAGACTGCCAAAGTTGGGGCCTGTCTGATGTCTTTAATGTCAGCAAGAGCACCTAGAGCTTCAGAGAGCTTCTTTTCTACCATCTCAAAGCTCCCTGCTTGAGCGGTGATGGCACGATCATCAGCATAGATGAAACTCTCTGTCCCTTCTGGCAGTGGCTGGTCATTTGTGTAGATGTTGAACATGGATGGAGCAAGCACGCTCCCCTGAGGCAGGCCGTTCTTCTGTTTCCGCCATCTGCTTCTCTGGCCCTGGAACTCAACAAAGAAGCTCCTGTTTTGTAGCAGGTTTCCTATGAGACGGTCTGAGTAAGATTGTCTTTCAAGGTCGTTTTGCGGTGTTCTGGCAGGACTAGATGACCTTTGAGGATCTTTTCCAACAGTATGCTTCTATGATCCTCCTTAACACAAGTGAAGTGTCCAGAACTGAACCCCAGGCTCCAGATGGGTCTGGACCAGTGCGGAATACAGGGAAGGGGTGAAGGGAAAAGGCAGCCATGCATGCCGTGGCTTCCACCCCGGCCTCCTTGGGCAACCATTCCTGCCAAAGAGCCTGAGCTCATGAGGGGCCTCCTTCCCTGTTTATGGCCGGGTGTATTTTCCTTCCCACTCCTGTTAAGCCTGGTTTTATGGCCCGCTCATAAACCACCCCAGCAGCGATTTAGGGTCAGCGGGGAGGCTGTAATGACTTCAAAGTGGGGCGCAGGGTCAGGGGTGAGCCTTGTAAATAGTCTCGCGCCATAAAAATAATTGGGAAGGGTCAGCAGGGGCTCCCAATTGGAGGGAGGGGGATCCCCTTTACAGCCCTGGCTTTCCCAGAGCCGTGCCAGCAGAGGCGGGCGCTTCACTTCTCGTGGCGCTGTTGTCCCCATCTGCAAAGGGGAGATCAATGGAGTCCGGTCTCCTTTCTTAGGATGGAGCATCCTTTGCCACCAACAGTTGAGTACTGTTCCAGAATCTTTTGTATTGAAACAGAGAACTCTAGTGTTGGAAGGGGCACCATAAGGCCATCCAATCCAACCCCCTTTTCCTTTTCCAACCCTATGCGCCACAGAGGACTCTGTACATAATGCTTAGAGTCCTGATCTGTTCTGTTCTAACCAACTGGTGGCCATCCAGCTAAGAAGGGGACTTCGCCATGCGCCCAGGCCCACAACTGGGCATACTATCAGGAGGTGCATAGTGCTTTTTTCCCCCCCATGTCAGCAGCAACTTGAGAAACCACAAGTCACTCCTAGTGTGTGAGAATTGGCGTTGCCCAAGGGATGCCTGGATGTTTTACCACCCAGTGGGAGGCTTCTCTCATGTCCCTGCATGAGAAGCTGGAGCTGACAGACAGGAGCTCACCCTGCTCCCTGGATTCAAACCGCTGACCTTTCAATCAGCTGCCATGCCAGCACAAGGGTTTAACCCTATGCGCCACAGAGGACTCTGTACACAATGCTTACATCAAGGGAAGCCAGAGTCCTGATCTGTTCTGTTTTGACCAGATGAGGAATATTGTGATTTTGAGCCGTGGATTCAAATGGCAGGAAAAGAGGTTCCGCTTGAAGATAAGGAAGAACCTCCTGAGGAGAAAAGGTGTTCAGCAGTGGAATAGACTCACAAACCTCACAACCTCTGAGGACACTTGGCACAGATGCAGGCGAAATGTCAGGAGAGAATGCTTCTAGAACAGTGGTTCTCAACCTGGGATCCCCAGATGTTTTTGGCCTACAACTCCCAGAAATCCTAACAGCTGATATGCTGGCTGGGATTTCTGGGAGTTGTAGGCCAAAAACATCTGGGGACCCCAGGTTGAGAATCACTGTTCTAGAACATGGGCATACAGTCCGAAAAACCTATAAAAACCCAATGGGAGATGGGGAGATGACTAGGGCAATTGACACGATCGCTCCGGAGCGTCCCCTCTCAAGTAGCCGAGCTAAACCAGCTCATTGGTTCACCGAGGAACTGGCAGCAATGAAGCGAAGGAAGAGGGAACTAGAGAGCGTGTGGCGTTCGGATCTGAGCGAGCCAAATCGAACACGGTTTGTGTCCTTTTTAAGGGCATATGCCGCGGCAATAAAAGCCGCAAAGAAAGCCTTCTTCACGGCAACTATTGCGTCTGCAAAGAACCGTCTGGCTGAGCTGTTCGAATTGTCAGAGGTCTTTTAAATCCCACCACTCCAGGTGGGAACCCTGACAATTCGTCTTCTTGCTGTGAAGCTTTTGCTCAGTTCTTTGCAGACAAAGTCGCTTTGATCCGTTCTGGTCTGGACACCATATTAAGGGCAGTCTCTGAGGATGTAACACGAGCACCTGCTTGTCCTATTTTGATGGATTCATTTCAATTGGTGAAACCCGAGGATGTGGACAAGATACTTGGAGGAATGAGGCCTACCACGTCCATCCTAGACCCCTGCCCATCCTGGCTTCTAAAGGAGGCCAGAGGGGGATTGGCTGAGTGGGTTGAGGTGGTGGTTAATGCCTCCCTTCGGGAAGGCAAGATTCCAGCGAGCTTAAAACAAGCTATAATAAAACCACTGTTGAAAAAACCTTCACTGGACCCCACTAAATTCAACAACTTTCGGCCAGTATCCAATCTTCCCTTTTTGGGCAAAGTCCTGGAACGCGTGGTGGCCTCACAACTCCAGGTATTCTTGGGAGACACGGATTATCTGGATCCGGCACAGTCTGGTTTCAGACCGGGACATGGAACCGAGGCGGTCTTGGTCGCCTTAGTGGATGATCTGCGCCGGGAGCTCGACAGGGGGAGTGTGTCCCTGTTGGTGCTGCTGGACCTCTCAGCGGCCTTCGATACCGTCGACCACGGTATCCTTCTGGGACGCCTCGCGGGAATGGGTCTTGGAGGTACTGTTTTGCAGTGGCTCCAGTCATTCCTAGAGGGCCGATCCCAGAAGGTGTTATTGGGAGACACCTGTTCAACCCCACAACCGTTGTCTTGTGGGGTTCCACAGGGTTCAATTCTGTCTCCCATGTTATTTAACATCTACATGAAGCCGCTGGGAGAGATCATCCGGAGTTTCGGGGTACGGTGTCATCTGTACGCGGATGATGTCCAACTCTGTCACTCCTTTCCACCTGCTACTAAGGAGGCTGTCGAGGTCCTGAACCGGTGCTTGGCCGCTGTGTCGGACTGGATGAGGGCTAACAAATTGAAATTGAATCCAGACAAGACAGAGGTACTCCTGGTCAGTCGTAAGGCTAAACAGGGCATAGGGTTACAGCCTGTGTTGGATGGGGCCCACTCCCCCTGAAGACGCAGGTTCGCAGCTTGGGTGTGACCCTGGACTCATCGCTGAGCCTGGAACCCCAGGTTTCAGCGGTGACCAGGGGAGCATTTGCACAGCTAAAGCTTGTGCGCCAGCTGCGCCCATACCTTGGGAAGTCTGACTTGGCCACGGTAGTCCACGCTCTGGTTACATCCCGTTTAGACTACTGCAACGCTCTCTACGTGGGGTTGCCTTTGAAGACAGCTCGGAAGCTTCAACTAGTCCAATGCTCGGCAGCCATGATTCTAACAGGAGCGGAACGCAGGGAGCATACAACCCCCCTGTTGCGCCAACTCCACTGGATACCGATTTGCTACCGGGCTCAATTCAAAGTGCTGGCGTTGGCCTTTAAAGCCCTCAACGGTTCCGGCCCAAGCTACCTATCCAACCGCATCTCTGCCTATGAACCCACTAGGACTTTGAGATCTTCCGGGGAGGCCCTGCTCTCGATCCCGCCTGCCTCACAAGCACGGCTGGCGGGGACGAGAGATAGGGCCTTCTCGGTGGTGGCTCCCCGGCTGTGGAACGCCCTTCCCACAGACATTAGATTAGCACCATCTCTAATGGTATTCCGCAAAAAAGTAAAGACCTGGTTATTTGGGCAGGCATTCGAATAATTAGTGCAATGAATGGTAATGACATAGGAATGGAACAATGGATGACGAATCTGGATCATGTTTTTTTAGTGATGAGACGCTAGTGAATGGTTATTATAGTAATTGTGTACTAATTGTGTATTAGATTAGGTTGTTAACTGTTTTTATATTGGTGCATTGAATTTTGCTGTTTCCTGTGTGTTGTGAACCGCTGTGAGTCGCCTCCGGGCTGAGAACAGCGGTATAGAAGTAAAGTAAATAAATAAATAAATAATAAAGTAAATAAATGGAACCTGCCCAAATTCGATGGAGTCTCCTTCTCTGAGGTTTCCAAGCAGAGGCTGGATGGCCATCTGTCAGGAGTGCTTTGATTGGAGTGTATGGCCTGAGGGGTCTCTTCCAACCCTAGGATTCTAGGATTCTATTCTCCTGCTGGCAGCATCCATCCTACAATTCCCTTGTTTTGGTTTATTTATGTTCTGCCTTTCCCACAAAGTTGATCACAAGACAAAAAGAAACAAAACAAGCCCCAACGCCATTGCCCACGGAAGAGCCTTGTGCACAGTTTGCATGTGGCTTCTCCTCATGCGCCTTGGCTTGGTTGCATAAGGTGTTGTACTGCACAATCCATGGGCAGAGATGAAAGCAACAGAATGACTTGGAGTCAGATCTGAGCGAACGGGTTGTGTCTTGAGTAACTTTTGGAGTGATTTCCTGGTCCTGGGATGGATGGGAGCACGCTCTGGGGAGGAAGGGGGAAAGGGGGCTTGGTATTTCCCATGTTTTGGAAGGTTTTGGATTGATCCATCCTGTGCAGTGCGGATGCCCCAACATCTTGGAACCCCCTCACCGCCTCCAGCCCCCTTCCATCCATTTAAGTTCTCCTTCTGTGTTTTCATGGTTGCTCATCCTATGGTTTGCGGTGAGCCGCTCCATGGCGCATGCATGTCCTTCCACCTCACTCATCTTCATATTCCTGTTCTGTTTTGCCTCCTTTGCCCCCGCCATCCTCAGGTTGCAGCTCAGCCCGGCCCGCTCCGAACGGCTCAGCGACGAACATGCGCTGATTGCGGCCTACGTCAGCCGCCTCCAGAGCGGCCCACGGTCAGTGCGCGGGAGGAGGAGAAGGAGGAGAGCCTGCTGTGTGTTTGTCTGTGTGTATATGTGTGCAAAATTGTTGTCTTGGACTTGGCGTCTAGAGCAAAAGCCATGTGGGGATTCCTCTCCATGCCTGGCTGCTTCAGGAGAGGCGAAATGACCCTCCTTTGAGCAGGTGCAGGTGGTGGTAACACCAGTTTCTACAATCCCATTGACCAGTTTGTGTGATCTCATCCCAGGTGTTTTGCTTTAAAGTGGATTATATGAGTCCTCACTGCCAGATAATCTGGGATAAATAGAAAACCTGGGATCAGATCCTGCAATATAGGGCATATCTGGAAGGCTCTGTCGTCTTATGCTCCTACTTTATTGTACACAAAATGCTGAGCAACCCCTTTGCAGAATCCTGCCCCCATAACTGCCAATGCACATCTTTGCCCAAAGTGTGCCAGATGCATCCCCACAGGAACTCTCTGTTTTCCTTGGATAGGAACCCTTTCTAGGGTTCACATCCTTCACTGCCCTTTCTTCACTGCCATATGATCCAAATTATCTGCTTTGAATTGGATTATATGGCAGTGTAGACTCACATAGTCCAGTTCAAATAAGATAATGTGGATTATCTGCTTCGGCAGTATAGAAGGAGCATTAATCTGCAAAATCCATGACTAGGGGCATGAAGAAGCATGGCTGTCACATAGTGATAATTCACTTGGCACACAATCATTACCTTTTCACGGCGCTCTCACCAGGAGCCCAGATGTGCAGCTAGTCCAGATGTGCAGCTAGCCCATATTTCGAATGCCTTGCACTGCACCCAGGGCGCCTCAAGAGCACCCCTCGGGGAAGTGCGCTCTACGCAAATGCGTAATTTGCGTTTTGCTTCAGCCGCCCCTACCCATTCATTGGCATGCTCATTCATAACTTGACTTTAAAAGACCTTTTGGCCTTCAATATGCACACACACATGTGCATATGTATGTCTACCCCTTGCATTTCGAATGCCTTGCACTACACCCAGGGCGCCTCAAGAGCACCCCTCGGGGAAGCGCGCTCTACGCAAATGCGTAATTTGCGTATTGCTTCAGCCGCCCCTACCCATTCATTGGCATGCTCATTCATAACTTGACTTTAAAAGACCTTTTGGCCTTCAATATGCACACACACATGTGCATATGTATGTCTACCCCTTGCATTTCGAATGCCTTGCACTACACCCAGGGCGCCTCAAGAGCACCCCTCGGGGAAGCGCGCTCTACGCAAATGCGTAATTTGCGTATTGCTTCAGCCGCCGCTGCCCATTCATTGGCATGCTCATTCATAACTTGACTTTAAAAGACCTTTTGGCCTTCAATATGCACACACACATGTGCATATGTATGTCTACCCCTTGCATTTCGAATGCCTTGCACTACACCCAGGGCGCCTCAAGAGCACCCCTCGGGGAAGCGCGCTCTACGCAAATGCGTAATTTGCGTATTGCTTCAGCCGCCGCTGCCCATTCATTGGCATGCTCATTCATAACTTGACTTTAAAAGACCTTTTGGCCTTCAATATGCACACACACATGTGCATATGTATGTCTACCCCTTGCATTTCGAATGCCTTGCACTACACCCAGGGCGCCTCAAGAGCACCCCTCGGGGAAGCGCGCTCTACGCAAATGCGTAATTTGCGTATTGCTTCAGCCGCCGCTGCCCATTCATTGGCATGCTCATTCATAACTTGACTTTAAAAGACCTTTTGGCCTTCAATATGCACACACACGTATGCATATGTATGTCTACCCAGCAGCACCTTAATGAAAAAGAAAAGCTGCTGACAGAAGTTTGTACGATGACTGGATGAAAACATTGTATTGCCAAAATGATGTGACTTGGTGTGAGCCTCACCAAGTAGCATGGTTCTGTCACATCTCACAGGTTGGTGGAGCATTTCAGAGTGTACCAAACAAGGCCATGGTTACTGCTATTAAATCAGGAGTTTCAGATTCATTTTTCTCCAAGGACACACATGCCTTACTATGGTTGCCTTCAAAGGGCCGTTGAAGCCATGGATTGAGAATCTGTGGAAACAGAAGGCCGAATATAATTTGTTTTACATATTGATTGGAGTTCTTTAAATTTTGCTAAGTTTGGGGCCTTGGATGCTACTGAACGACAACTCCCATCCCTTTTGGTTATCTGCCCGGCGGACTGGGGATAATAGGAGCTGTGACCCAGCAAACTTGTGGCTCTGAGCTTGGGGAAAGGTGAAAGGACATTTTCAAGCCAGGCATCCTATCCGCAAGCCTTGTCTCTCAATCTAAACCCCACTCCCCTGACTCAAGAGAACAGATTGCAGCCTTCCAGGTGTTCCTGTATCCCAACTCCCTTCAGCTCCAGTCATGATGTCTAATGAGGAGGAAGATGGGAGTTGTAGTACAGTATCTGGAGGGCCACTGAAACGACACAGAGGGGCTGGAGTTGGGCACATGACCGCCTAGAAGTCTGTCCCCTCGTTTTGACTGGAAATAGAGTCTAATGGGAATGTTGCTTCCCTCTCGTTCTGACTCATGTTGGGCCCCCAGCACTGACCTGTTGGCATGGCTTGGCTTGACCCACTGGGCTGCAGATACTGACCATTCCGTGTTGACTTTTCTCTCCGTAGCAGCGTCCTAGACAGCCCCAGCCGGCTGGACGAGGAGCATCGACTCATTGCGCGCTATGCTGCCCGTCTGGCTGCCGAAGCTGGGAATGCGGTAAGAAATTATTTAATTAGTTATTTATTTACAGTATTTATATACCGTCATTCTCACCCCTGGGGGGACTCAGGCCAGCATGTGCTCCCCATTGCTCTGGTCATCTGACCTTTGGGCTCAGACATGGGCCAATTTTGGGGAATTGTGGGAGTTGAAATCCAAAACAACTGGAGGGCCCACATTTGCCTATGCCTGTTTTAACTGGTGTGTAACAAGATCACTCATTTTTTTATATACTAGCTGTACCTGCCACGTGTTGCTGTGGCCAATCTTCCCTCCCTCTTCCCTCCTTCCTCCTTCCCTTTTTTTCTTCCTTCTCTTTTCTCCTCTTCTCTCTCTTCCCTCCCCCTTCCCTCCTCCCCTTCTTCTTTCTTCCTTCTCTACCTCTTTCATTCCTTCCTTCTCTCTTTCCTTCTTTCTTTCCCTCCCTCTTTATCTTCTTTCTTCCTTCTCTATGTCTTTCTTTCCTTCTTCTCTCTTTCCTTTTTTCTTTCCCTCCCTCTTTATCTTATTTCTTCCATCTCTACCTCTTTCGTTCCTTCCGTCTCTCTTTCCTTCTTTCTTTCTCTCCCTCTCTTCTTTCTTACTTCTCTACCTCTTCCCTTCCTCCCCCTTTCCCCCTCCCTCTTTCTCTTCTTTCTTCCTTCTCTATGTCTTTCATTCCTCCCTTCTCTCTTTCCTTCTTACTTTCCCTCCCTCTTCCTCTTCTTTCTTCCATCTCTACCTCTTTCTTTCCTTCTTCTCTTTTTCCTTCTTTCCCTCCCTCTTTCTCTTCTTTCTTCCTTCTCTATGTCTTTCATTCCTTCTCTCTTTCCTCCCTTCCCTCCTTTTCCTTTCTTCCTTTCTTCCCTCCTCTTCCTTTCCTCCCTTTCCTCCCCTTTCTCTCTCTTTCTCTACCTCTTTCCTTCCTTCCGTCTCTCTTTCCTTCTTTCTTTCCCTCACTCTTTCTCTTCTTCCTTCCTTCTCTACCTCTTTCCTTCCTCCCCCTTTACCCTCTCCCTCTTTCTCTTCTTTCTTCCTTCTCTATCTCTTTCATTCCTCCCTTCTCTCTTTCCTTCTTATTCCCTCCTCTTTTCTTCCTTCTCTACATCTTTCTTCCTCTTCCTCTTCCTTTCCTCCCTCTTCTCTTCTTTCTTCCTTCTCTTCTTTTTTCCTTCCTCTCTTCCTTTCCTTCTTTCTCCCTCCCTCTTTCTCTTCCTTCCTCTACCTCTTGTGTGCAGCTACTTTGTGCTTGGTGCTCAAGCAGTGTTTCTTGTATGCTAGTGTTCGATCTAAGGGAACACCGAGAGATTTAGCATGGAAACAATGTTCAAGAAGTGGTTACGCTGACTTAGGTTAATACAGGATCAACTATTGATTTTAAACACTCAAAACCAATAGAGAACACTCTTAAGACTTCTCTTCGTGACAGGCCTGGGCAAACTTTGGGCTTTCCTCCAGGTGTTTTGGACTTCGACTCCCACCATTCCTAACCGTCTCAGGCCCCTTCCTTTTCCCTTTCCTTTTCTGCTTAAGCAGCTGAGCGGGGAAAGGAAAGGGCCTGAGCCTGTGAGGAATGGTGGGAGTTGAAGTCCAAAACACCTGGAGGAAAGCCCAAACTTGGCTCAGGCCTGCATCATAGCATGGTGCTTCCTGTTTTGACCTTGTGCCCCTCGCGCTCTCTCCCAGCCGCGGCCCCCCACGGACCTGGGCTTCAACTTTGACGCCAACAAGCAACAGAGGCAGCTGATAGCAGAGCTCGAAAACAAGAACAGGTAAGGAAGGCGCCAGAGGTTGAAGGACCTCAGCAAGGGAGGGTCACATCAGACTGGTCACTGCCTTCTTCCAAGGGACGTTGAATCCACGGATGTGTCATTAATAGCCATTGAAATCCACAAGCACGCGAACAACTACAACAGAAAGGTGGAAACCATAAAAATGAACACAACCTGGTCACCAGAATCAAGGCAGTAAATAAAGACTGCCACTCAGAAACAGAGGAACTCCAGACAGCAAACGATCAAGTGCCACTTAACACGTCCCAAGCAGAAGATGCCTCCATGCAACAACAGTCAGGCAACCTCTATGCAGATACCCTCACTGATTGACTGTGCAGCTTCATGCCTACTCAATGCTATTCAAGATGGCTAATTGCAACGTTCACACTTGCTCCAAACAGACAAGGGTTCTTTCTCCCACCCTGGACATTATTCCACAGGGATAAATGGATGGATGGTTGGGTGGATGGATAGACAGACAGACAGACAGACAGACAGACACATACACATGCACATGCACATACATGCATACACACTCCACTTGCCTCACTGCCGAAAGAACCTCTGAAGTTGCTATTAGTCACAGATGCAGGCAAAACATCAGGAGAGAATGCTGCTGTAACATGGCCATTCAGCCCAAAAAACTCACAGCAACCCTGTGATTCCGTCCATGGAAGCCTTCAACAATACAGCATCTATCTAAACAAAAATGTAATGTTCGTTTGTGGGATTAACATAATGCAAAAACCACTCGACGAATTGACACGAAATTTGGACACTGCACCCTAACAGACCAGCGAGTGACTATCACTCATAAAATCCCCCCCCCCCAAATCCCGGAAAGGGCTTAACCCCCCCCCCCCAAGCTAAATGATAAAAAACTAAATGACAAACAGAAAAAAAGGGAAGGAAGGGGAGAAAGAAAATAAGAAAGAAAGGAGGGAAAGGGAAGAAAGGAAAAGAAAAAAGGGAAGAAAGAAGGAAGGAAGAAGAAGGAAGGAAAGAAGAGGAAGAAGAAAGGAGAAGGAAAAGAAAGGGGGGAAGAAAGGAAAGAGGTAGAGAAGAAGGAGAGAAGGAAAGAAAATAGGGAAGGAAGGAAAGAGAGGAGAAGGAAAGAAGAGGGAGAGAGAAAGAGAAGAAGGAAGGAAGAAGGAAAGAAAGGAGAGAAGGAAAGAAAATAAGGGAAGGAAGGAAAGAGGGAGCGAAGGAAGGAGGGAAAGAAGGAAAGAAAGAGGGAGAGAAGGAAAGGGAGAAAGAAGGAAGGAAAAACAAGGAAGGAAAGAGGTAGAGAAGGAAGGAAGGAGAGAAGGAAAGAAAATAAGGGAAGGAAGGAAAGAGGGATGGAGGAAGGAGGAAGAAGGAAAGAAAGGGAAGAGGGAAAGAGAAGGAAGGAAGAGATAGAAAGGTACAGAAGGAAGGAAGGAGAGAAGGAAAGAAAAAGGGAGAAGGAAGGAAGGAGGAGAGAAGGAAGGAGAGAAGGAAAGAAAGAGAGAAAGAAGGAGGGAAGGAAGGAAAAAAAGAGAAAGAAGAAGGAAAAAAAAAGGAAGAAAAGAGGTAGAGAAGGAAGGAAAGAGAAAGAAAGAAAATAAGGGAAGGAAGGAAAGAGGGAGCGAAGGAAGGAGGGAAAGAAGGAAAGAAAGAGGGAGAGAAGGAAAGAGAAAGAAGGAAGGAAAAACAAGGAAGGAAAGAGGTAGAGAAGGAAGGAAGGAAGAAGGAAAGAAAATAAGGGAAGGAAGGAAAGAGGGAGCGAAGGAAGGGGAGAAAGAAGGAAAGAAAGAGGAAGAGAAGGAAAGAGAAAGAAGGAAGGAAAGAGGTAGAGAAGGAAGGAAGAAAGAAGGAAAGAAAATAAGGGAAGGAAGGAAAGAGGGAGCGAAGGAAGGAGGGAAAGAAAGAAAGAAAGAAAGAGAAAGAAGGAAGGAAAAACAAGGAAGGAAAGAGGTAGAGAAGGAAGGAAGGAGAGAAGGAAAGAAAATAAGGGAAGGAAGGAAAGAGGGAGCGAAGGAAGGGGAGAAAGAAGGAAAGAAAGAGGAAGAGAAGGAAAGAGAAAGAAGGAAGGAAAGAGGTAGAGAAGGAAGGAAGAAAGAAGGAAAGAAAATAAGGGAAGGAAGGAAAGAGGGAGCGAAGGAAGGAGGGAAAGAAAGAAAGAAAGAAAGAAAGAAAGAAAGAAGGAAAGAGAAAGAAGGAAGGAAAAACAAGGAAGGAAAGAGGTAGAGAAGGAAGGAAGGAGAGAAGGAAAGAAAATAAGGGAAGGAAGGAAAGAGGGAGCGAAGGAAGGGGAGAAAGAAGGAAAGAAAGAGGAAGAGAAGGAAAGAGAAAGAAGGAAGGAAAGAGGTAGAGAAGGAAGGAAGAAAGAAGGAAAGAAAATAAGGGAAGGAAGGAAAGAGGGAGCGAAGGAAGGAGGGAAAGAAAGAAAGAAAGAAAGAAAGAAAGAAAGAAGGAAAGAGAAAGAAGGAAGGAAAAACAAGGAAGGAAAGAGGTAGAGAAGGAAGGAAGGAGAGGGAGAAGGAAAGAGGGAGAGAAGAAGAAGGAGAGGAAAAAGGAAAGAAAAAGGAAGGGGAAGGAAGGAACGAGGGAGAGAAGGAAAGAAAGAAAAAAGGGAAGGAAGGCAGGAAGGAAGGAAAGAAAGAGTGAGGGAAGGAAGGAAAGAAGGATGGAGAGAAAGAAAGAAGAGAGAGAGGGAGGGAATGTTGGCCACAGCAACGCGTGGCGGGTACAGCTAGTCGTTAATACCTTTTGGACCTTAAAAATACTCTTTCATCCATTTTCAGTGGGGTGCAGTGCAATAGGCACTTTCGGAGAAAGAAGCAGACACACAGATCTTGTACTGGTTTTGTAATGGTTGTATTGGTTACAGAAACATCCCATATGCCCAGCATTCACTCGCATACATACATTCACCCGTTCATACTCACCAACCTCCTTCATTCAGTCCTCCTGCTGGAGAAACGTCAGGAGAAAATGCTGCTAGAACGTGGCTGTACAGGCTCAGAAACCACACAACACCCCACAATTAAAATGCATTTTGAACACTCATGGTAAATTTGACCTTGGGGTGAATTTGACCCTGCTTATTGCTCCTTCAGGGAGATCCTGCAGGAGATCCAGCGCCTGCGCCTGGAGCACGAACAAGCCTCGCAGCCCACGCCGGAGAAAGCCCAGCAGAACCCCACACTCCTGGCCGAACTGCGCCTCCTGCGGTGAGATCACACGTTGGGGTGTGTGTGTGTGTGTCTTGGGACTGCTGCGTGCGTGGGCCACTTCTGCCCAACTGACCGCTCCCCTTCTTCCACCTCAATCTGCACAGGCAGCGCAAGGACGAGCTGGAGCAGCGCATGTCCGCCCTGCAGGAGAGCCGGCGAGAGCTGATGGTGCAGCTGGAGGGGCTCATGAAGCTGCTGAAGGTCAGGTCCACCGATCTCCCTCCGACCCCCATTGACCCCTCTTCTCCTGCCTTTCCTTGGAGGTCAGGGAGGCAAGCCTGTCCTCTCTCAGCCCCCAAGGCTGCCTCAGGCGGAGCCAGACCAAGCTAAACACCTCTCTGAACTGGGATGGACAGGGACCTGATGGTGGGCTTCCACCACCAAAAGCAAGGGACGGTCCTGGCCCAGAGTTTGGAAGAGTTCCTTTTTTGGATCACATGTCCTAGACCAGGCATGGGCCAACTTGGGCCCATCCTCCATAAGTTCATATGCATAGCACTGGCTGCACTGCAGTGTCCTCTGCTGCAGAGACCAAGTATTCTAGGACAGATCAGGTTCATCCTTCCCTCCAGGTGTTTTGGACTTCAACTCCCACAATTCCTAACAACCTCCCATCTGTTAGGAATTGGGAGTTGAAGTCCAACACACCTGGAGGGAGGGAAGAGGGATAAGGCCCAAGTTCGAGAGCAGTACGAGTGAAAAAGATCTTGGAGTCCTCGTGGACAACAAGTTAAACATGAGCCAGGAATGTGATGTGGCGGCAAAAAAAGCCAATGGGATTTTGGCCTGCATCAAGAGGAGCCTAGTGTCTAGATCAGTGGTTCTCAACCTGGGGTCCCCAGATGTTTTTGGCCTACAATTCCCAGAAATTCTAACAGCTGATAATCTGGCTGAGATTTCTGGGAGTTGTAGGCCAAAAACATCTGGGGACCCCAGGTAAAGAACCACTGACCTAGAGGAGGAAAGTCATGCTACCCCTCTAGCTGGCTTAGTTAGACCACACCTGGAATATTGTGTCCAATTCTGGGCACTGATTGAAGAGAGATATTGACAAGCTGGAATGTGTCCAGAGGAGGGCGACTAAAATGATCAAGGGTCTGGAGAACAAGCCCTATGAGGAGCGGCTTAAGAAGCTGGGCATCCACAATTGAAGAGAGATATTGGGCACCACAATTGAAGAGAGATATTGACAAGCTGGAATGTGTCCAGAGGAAGGTGACTCAAATGATCAAGGGTCTGGAGAACAAGCCCTATGAGGAGCGGCTTAAGAAGCTGAGCATGTTTAGCCTGAAGAAGAGAAGGCTGAGAAGAAGCATGATGAGGGCCATGTATAAATATATTAGAGGAAGCCACAGGGAGGAGGGAGCAAGCTTGTGTTCTGCTTCCATGGAGACTAGGACAAGGAACAATGGCTTCAAACTACAAGAGAGGAGATTCCACCTGAACATGAGGAAGAACTTCCTGACTGTGAGAGCCGTTCAGCAGTGGAACTCTCTGCCCCGGAGTGTGGTGGAGGCTCCTTCTTTGGAAGCTTTTAAGCAGAGGCTGGATGGCCATCTGTCAGGGGTGATTTGAATGCAATATTCCTGCTTCTTGGCAGAATGGGGCTGGACTGGATGGCTCATGAGGTCTCTTCCAACTCTTTGATTCTAGGATTCTATGATCCTGTTAGAGGAGGGAATCCCTCAGCCTAATCCTATCTCTAGCCTAATAATAATAATAATAATAATAATAATAATAATTCTTGATTTATACCCCGCCACCATCTCCCCAAGGGGACTCAGAGCGGCTAACATGAGGCCCGACAATTACAACAAGGCAAAAGAATACAAACATACAATCATACAATAATGCATCAAATAAAATATAATAAAATATAACAAAAATAATACAATATAAACACAGGGTATAACATAAAATAACCAACAATTGAGCCGAATGTGTAGGGCCAAGTACCCTGGGTGAGATGGAAGAGTGGGGTAATGTATCTGGTGGGAGGTTCAGATGGGACAAAAGAGGGGTTTAATTTCACTCAAGGGTGAGATAAAATGCATCGAAGGGCATTTTGTACTGGTCAAGGTAGTATCTGCTGGGTGTGGTCTAACAGTGGCTGAGAGTCTAGTGCTATACCGCCTCGTGGGTAATAAAAAAGGTGCAGCTGTGTGTGAAAGTGTGTACGCTACTACTCTTGTGGAGTGGACCTGAAGACAATGTGATATTTTTAGGCCTTACTGAATAAGCGTGTGAGAGAGGTCGAAGAGGATGCAAGGTGTGGCACCAGGGAGAGAGGGTATGTACCTGGAAAAGGGATACTAGAGTCTTGTAGATAGGAAGAGCATACGACTGTCGAATAAGGATTATGCAGTCGGAGTGGTTGTTGAAGGGGGGACGGATGCCTGGAGGGCGGAGTGTAGTCGTGGAGCGTGCGCCAATAGCACCTTCGTTACCCCAGCTTTAAGTGGTGCAGTGTTAAGAACTTCAGATTGTTAACTGATGATGTCTTTATTGTTTTATTGTTACGTTATGTATTGTCAAAGGCTTTCATGGCTGGAATCACTGGGTTTTTGTAGGTTTTTTCGGGCTATATGGCCATGTCTAGAGGCATTTCTCCTGACGTTTCGCCTGCATCTATGGCAAGCATCCTCAGAGGTAGTGAGGTCTGTTGGAAGTAGGAAAAATGGGTTTATATATCTGTGGAATGGCTGGGGTGGGGCAAGGAGCTCTTCCCTGCTGGAGCTAGGTGTGAATGTTTCAACTGACCACCTTCATTAGCATTTGAAGGCCTGCCTGAGCCTGGGAGAATCTTTTGTTGAGAGGTGTTAAGATGTGCCTGGTTGTTTCCTCTCTGCTGTTTTGCTGTTGCAATTTTAGAGTTTTTTAATACTGGTAGCCAGATTTTGTTCATTTTCATTGTTTACTCCTTTCTGTTGAAATTGTCCACATGCTTGTGTATTTCAATGGCTTCTCTGTGTAGTCTGACATGGTGGTTGTGAGAGTGGTCCAGCATTTCTGTGTTCTCAAATAAAATGCTGTGTCCTGGTTGGTTCATCAAGTGCTCTGCTATGGCATACAGCCCGAAAAAACCTACAACAAGGACATCTAATCACCTCTCAACAAAAGATTGCTCCAGGCACTGTCATGCCATTATATGCTAATCATGGTGGTCAGTTGAAACATTCACACCTAGCTCCAGCAGACAAGAGTCCTTTGTCCCACCCTGGTCATTCCACAGATATATAAACCCTTTTCCTAGTTCCAACAGACCTCACGACCTCTGAGGATGCTTGCCATAGATGCAGGCGAAACGTCAGGAGAGAATGCCTCTAGAACATGGCCATATAGCCTGAAAAAACCCACAAGAACCTGTTTACGTTATTGTTTTATTGTCCATGTTTGATTTTAATTGCATTGTTATTGCTTGTATTTGGGCTTGGCCTCATGTAAGCCGCACCGAGTTCCATGGGGAGATGGTAGCGGGGTATAAATAAATAATAATAATAATAATAAGCTTGTATTGTTGTTGTTATTGCTTGTTTTGGGCTTGGCCTCATGTAAGCCGCACCGAGTCCCATGGGGAGATGGTAGCGGGGTATAAATAAATAATAATATAATAATAATAATTATTATTATTATTATTATTATTATTATTATCTTCAATGAGTAGCTCTCCTAGCCTAGCTACTCATTGAGGACTGGAGACTTGATTTATTTATTTGTCGTGTCAGGACAACCAGTCAAATTTGACTCCAGTTTGACTGGAGAGCTTCTACTGCAATCCAGGGATGAAACCCAACAGGTAAGAATCTGGAACATAAGGATGTCCTTCCTGGAACCGTTCCTGCTCTTAAGGTGGGAAAGAAACCCAAACCTCCTTTGGTCTGGCCCAGCCTAAGGCCCCTTCCTTTCACTTGAACCTCAGTCCTTTGTCCTCAACTGGCTCTGGTCCCCCCTCAAGCGTGTTCTGTGTGTGCCTGCGTTTTCCTTCCAGATAATGATTAACTGTCCACGTTCTCTCTCCCTTCCTTCCTCTCCCCCTCTTTCTCTCTCTTTCTCTCTCATGTCTTCTTCTTGTCAACGCTTATAGGAAGAGGAACAAAAGCAGGCAGTAAGTTGATGTCCCCTGATACTCTGTCTCTGTGTGTATGTGTGTTTAAACTCTGATTCTGCATGAAGGAGGCGCTGTGTTTACACGTTTCCCTCTCCTGATAGGGTCGGATGCAAACCAGACAAGGAATGCAATGTCACCTCAGGGTTTCCCCTGAAGCACAGGTGGGCAAAGCGGGCATCTCCCCACAAGGTGGGAACCCCCCCCCAAAAGTGAATTTACCTCCAGGAGTGATAACACTATGTAGCTCTCTACGTGGGGCTGCCCTTGAAGACGGCCCGGAAGCTTCAGCTAGTCCAGCGCGCGGCAGCCATGTTACTAACGGGAGCGGGACGCAGGGAGCACACAACGCCCTTGTTGTCCCAGCTCCACTGGCTGCCGATTTGCTACCGGGCCCAATTCAAGGTGCTGGTGTTATCCTACAAAGCCCTAAACGGTTCCGGCCCAAAATACCTTTCGGACCGCATCTCGGCCTATGAGCCCACGAGGGCCTTGAGATCATCCGGGGAGGCCCTTCTCTCGATCCCGCCCGCCTCACAGGCACGTCTGGCGGGGACGAGAGAGAGGGCCTTCTCAGTGGTGGCCCCCCGGCTGTGGAACACCCTCCCTGTTGACATCAGACAGGCGCCCTCCCTTATGGCTTTCCGTAAGAGCCTAAAGACCTGGCTATTCGAGAAGGCATTTAATTGAGTGTTATATTAACTGGAAATGACAATCGGAACGGAAAATGGATTATGAGATTGGTTATGATTCTGATGTGACGGAGCGGACTAGTTAGTGTAAGTTTAGATTAATTTAGATTAATGTGTATTTGATATGTTGATTTTTTCGTGTGGCTTGATTGTAAACTGTTTTTAATATGTTGTACACCGCCGCGAGTCGCCCTAGGGCTGAGAGCGGCGGTCAACAAATGCAGCAAATAAATAAATAAATAAATAAACATTCGGAAATTTTCCTGTTTGAAAGTATTATTTATTTATTTGCAGTATTTATATTCCACCCTTCTTACCCCGCAGGGGACTCAGGGCGGATCACAATGCACACAGACATGGCAAACATTCATTGCCATAGACACGCAACATATATAGACAGGCACACAGAGGCTATTTAACTTCCAGCTTCATGAGAGTATGTTTTAAATTCCGTCCACCGGGGGAGCTATTGCTTCGCCATCCACTTTGACACTGATGGAGTACTTCCTCATTCTTTTGCACACTGCTGGGGAGTTTTATGGTGTCGTAAATTAATAATTAGCCTCCCCGCATCAGCGGTACCTAAATTTCCTACTTGATAGATGCAACTGTCTTTTGGGCTGGAAAGGTCAACAGCAAGCTAGACAAATGGTTGGGAGTTTACTCCGACCCGGCTGACCTTTCGGTCAGTAGTGATTTTTAATGTAGTTGACTCACAACCAGCTGCGCTACAACCCGGTCCACATTTCCTGTATAATTGTGCGGTCCTTACTTTGAAAGTAGTTGTTCTACTCCAGAAAACCTGTCCTTGGAAAACCCCAGGACTGGCATTGAACCCCCAGTTCCACCTCCGTTGCCCACCTTTGCTCTGGAGGAGACCCCTTCTTCTCTCTACTGAGTGTAGTCTTCCTAACCCTTGCTACCTTTCCTAAACGAATGTTCCTGCCGAGAATGTGTGATTAAACATGTTGGTAGTCCTTCTGTACATCTGTATGCATCATATATGTATTTCAAATGTGCATGATGGGCAAGACCTGGAAACGCCAACTGCCCTTTCTTGGAGATCCCGCCTTTATTTGCCTGCTGGCTTGGCTGTGCATGAAAAGGAAAGGCTGGTCACTCTGTTCTGAACTAGGTCTCTCTTAGCAAAGCCTCTGCTGACCTGTTCCAAGAAGGTAGGAGGAACGGAGTGGATGCCAGCTGAGTCGTCTATGTGCAGTTTCTAAGGCTGAATTTAGGGTAAGGGGTTGTTGGGCGAGTGGGCTTATTAACAAAAGACCCTTCTCATAAATGCACAGCAGAGTAACTTATGAGCAGCAGCGTGACCCAATACCAGGAGCCCAAAGTGGTAAAAAGAACAAAAACACGCAGACTAATGTTCTCTCTTCCACAGGATGCTTTTCTTTGTAGTAAAATAATATGGTTGCACTATTCTATGATTCTATTTACAAAAACAAGGTTTCCATAACACAAATAAAGTTCAACCGTCACACTGGAGCTTCACACACGACGCCTTCTCATACTGAAGCCTACTAACACTGAGGCCTACCTCACACTGAGGCCTCTCTCCCACTCAGGTGAACTAACACTGAGGCCTTCTCTCACACTGAGGCCTCTCTCCCACTCAGGTGAACTAACACTGAGGCCTTCTCTCCCACTGAGGCCTCTCTCCCACTCAGGTGAACTAACACTGAGGCCTTCTCTCACACTGAGGTCTTTCTCCCACTGAGGCCTCTCTCCCACTCAGGTGAACTAACACTGAGGTCCTCTCTCACACTGAGGCCTTTCTCCCACTGAGGCCTCTCTCCCACTCAGGTGAACTAACACTGAGGCCTTCCCTCACACTGAGGCCTCTCTCCCACTCAGGTGAACTAACACTGAGGCCTTCTTTCACACTGAGGCCTCTCTCCCACTCAGGTGAACTAACACTGAGGCCTTCTRTCKCARTGAGGCCTCTCTCCCACTCAGGTGAACTAACACTGAGGCCTTCTCTCACACTGAGGCCTTTCTCCTARTGAGGCCTCTCTCCCACTCAGGTGAACTAACACTGAGGCCTTCTCTCACYCTGAGYCCTRTCTCCRACTYAGGCCTCTCTCCCACTCAGGTGAACTAYCACTGAGGCCTTRMCTCACYCTGAGYCCTRTCTCKCACTYAGGCCTCTCTCKCACTSAGGTGAACTAACTGAGGCCTTCTCTCACACTGAGGCCTTTCTCCCACTGAGGCCTCTCTCCCACTCAGGTGAACTAGCACTGAGGCCTTTCTCACACTGAGGCCTCTCTCACACTGAGGTGAACTAYCACTGAGGCCTTCTCTCACACTGAGGCCTTTCTCCCACTGAGGCCTCTCTCCCACTCAGGTGAACTAACACTGAGGCCTCTCACACTGAGGCCTTCCTCCCACTGAGGCCTCTCTCACACTGAGTTGAACTAACACTGAGGCTTCCTCTCACACCGACACCTTCCTCAGACTGAGGGCTACTAAGCTACAGTCACATCTGCTAATATTGAACTGCAGCTTTTGCTGAGTTGTTGTATCCATTTAACTCACATTTTTATAATTAAAATACCTAGTTAATTATTAATATGTCTGACAGGGGTCATGCACATGGGTTTCTTGGGAAGGGGAGCACCAGAGAAAGTGTCTTGGATGGGACACAGTTGGGCACCTCCCAGGATTTTGGAAATGTTGTTGGATTCGTTCATGATTTAATGCACTGAGGCCTCCTCTCACTGAGGGTTTCTCACACTGAGGCCTCCCTCAGACCAAGGGCTACTAAGCTTCAGTCACATCTGCTAATATTGAACTGCACCCTTTGCTGAGCCATTGTATCAATTTAACCCAGTGGTTCTCAACCTTCCTAATGCCGTGACCCCTTAATACAGTCCCTCATGTTGTGGTGACCCCCCCCCAACCATAACATTGTTTTTGTTGCTACTTCATAACAGTCATTTTACTACTGTTATAGATCATAATGTAAATATCAGATATGCAGGATGTATTTTCATTCACTGGACCAAACCTATAATCAAAGAGCATTCTGAACTCCACCAGCAATGGATTTGAACCTAATTTGCCACACAGAACTCCCATGACCAACGGAAAACACTGGAAGGGTTTGGTGGGTATTGACCTTGAGTTTGGGAGTTGTAGTTCACCTATATCCAGAGAGCACTCTGGACTCACGCAATGGTGGATCTGGACCAAACTTGGTGCAAATACCCAATATGCGCAAATGTAAACACTGGTGGAGCCTGGGGAAAATAGACCTTGACTTTTGGGAGTTGTAGTTGCTGGGATTTATAGGTAAAGGTAAAGGTAGTCCCCTGACATTAAGTCCAGTCATGTCTGACTCTGGGGTGTGGTGCTCATCTCCATTTCTAAGCCGAAGAGCCAGCGTTGTCCGTAGACACCTCCAAGGTCATGTGGCCAGCATGACTGCATGGAGCGCCGTTACCTTCCTGACGGAGCGGTACCTATTGATCTACTCACATTTGCATGTTTTCAAACTGCTAGGTTGGCAGAAGCTAGGGCTGACAGCGGAAGCTTACGCTGCTCCCCGGAATCGAACCTGCGACCTTTCGATCAACAAGCTCAGCAGCTCAGTGCTTTAACCCACTGCGCCACCGGGGGCTCCGGGGGCACTGGGATTTATAGTTCATTACAATCAAAGAACATTCTGAACTCTACCAACGATATAATTGGCTCAAACTTCCCACATGGAATCCCCATGACCATCAGAAAATATTGTGTTTTCTGATGGTCTTTGGTGACCCCTCTGACGCCCCTTCGCGACCCCCTCAGGGGTCCCGACCCCCAGGTTGAGAAACACTGATTTAACCCCTTCAGTGTTTGACTCACATTTTTGTAATTAAAAATAGCTAGTTAATTTTAAATATGTCTGACAGGGGTCATGCACATGGGTTTCTTGGGGAGGGGAGCACCAGACAAAGTGTCTTGGATGGGACACAGTTGGGCACCTCCCAGGATTTTGGAAATGTTGTTGGATTCGTTCACGATTTGCTGCACGGAGGACTCCTCTCCCTGAGGCTTTCTCTCACACTGAGGCCTCCCTCAGACTGAAGTGGCATGACATGAACTGCGTAGATGGGGGCCCAGAAGCAGAGGACTACGCCCGGGGGCCAAGCTTCCAAAGGTGGGAGAGCGACTCAAATGATCAAGGGTCTGGAGAACAAGCCCTATGAGGAGCGGCTTAAAGAGCTGAGCATGTTTAGCCTGAAGAAGAGAAAGCTGAGAGGAGATATGATAACCATGTATAAATATGTGAGAGGAAGACACAGGGAGGAGGAG